AAAGAGGTGCTGCAGAAAGAGCTTTTTGACCATTAAAGCATGGAGACATGTAAAGTAGAGACACTACATACTGATATACACCTGAACATCAGCAGGAGAGGACTCTTTAAAGTAGAGACACTACATACTGATATACACCTGAACATCAGCAGGAGAGGACTCTTTAAAGTAGAGACACTACATACTGATATACACCTGAACATCAGCAGGAGAGGACTCTTTAAAGTAGAGACACTACATACTGATACAGACCTGAACATCAGCAGGAATAGGGCCCCTTTAACTTGATGTAATCCTGCATTTCTTTCCGTAACGCTCACTGCAGGATAACTCTTGTTAGAAATGAATCTCTCCTCCTTCTCACTGCATCCTCTTCACCCACTAACCCTCTTCTTCTTCTTCTCTCAGTATAAAGTACAGCGTGGCTCAGGGGAAGGAGGGGATCATCGACTTCACGCCCGGATCAGAACTCCTGGTGGCCAAAGCCAAGAATGGACACCTGTCTGTGGTGAGTCTAAATAAATATCCTCCGTTAGAGCATGTTTACCTAAAGCTCAAATGTTAACACCTCAGATTTCCTTCTTAGTCTGAATAACACCAGAGTTGGATCTGAAAAAAGAAATTCTGGGCTCGGAGTATTCAGGACTCAGAGGCTTTATGAGATGTCGTAAAGACCTGATAAAGCGCTTTATAGTACAGTCCATTTCCCAAATCAAAAAAATCTGAAATCTCTTGTGAAATAAACCAAAAACTGTTGAATGTTTGGCAGAAAATATAAAATATCAGCACCAATAGCACGAAGCTGAATGAGTGGCAAAATCTAATAAAATATTACATTCTTACTTTTGATTTAATTTACCAAAAAAAATGGTTTTGCTTCAATAGATAAAATGCAAACAATAAAATTGGTAAATAGCTAATTCTGTGTTATTACTAATAATCAAAAGACATAATAAAAATGTATAAAATCAATCATTTGACATGCCGTTTTTTTTTTCTTTGGATCCAGACGGCTCCAAGACTGAACTCCAGATGATGACACACACACACACACACACACACACACACACACACACACACACACACACACACACACACACACACACACACACACACCCCTCCTCCAATCAGACGCCAGCTGTCACTCCAGGTGGAATGTGCTTCCAATAACAGAAAAGACAAAAAAAATACAAATCCAGCAAACTAATTGATATATTTATGTTTATATATTATATTTTTGGGGCGTTAATACTGTTGCTGTTTGAATATTTTCTGATTTTATATACGAGGCCAAGGAATAACAAATATCGCGGTGCGTTTTTCTCGCACCGCGTGTGTTTAATGTGCTTTATTTTTGGGAACTTGACCAAGGAAACAATGAGGGAAGGTGTCAGAATAAGAGGAGAAGCCGTCGATGAAAACCAGGGTTTGTTTCTTGCCTCAAATGAAACTTTATTTACTTTCAACTTTTCTAACCGGGGGTTGTTTTGAAGGTGGGCAGAGTAGAGGGTCGGGGATTGAAGGGATCCTTGTGTTTTGAATAAGAGATTCTGTGGGATTCACTACAAGAAACTGAAGAGTAAAAGCATGTGAGAGACGGCGAGAGGAATGTGAACAGGAAGCTGAAAGACGTGCCTTTCCATCTTTTCTTTGACTAATTTATTCGATATTAACGGATGAAAACCATGACACTCAACGTGAGAATGAGTCGAGTTCAGATTAGATTAAAACCCTGAGTTTTCCCCCCATGTCCTCCCTGCTTTGCCTCCCCCCCTCACCTGAGACTGAACTGCTCTGATGTTTTTACTTTAGATTAATATTCAATATCTTTCTCTGTATTTGAAAAGCATTTATACCAAAAAGTGCGACGAAAACTCAATTTAAAGCCACATTAAGTCGGGGATAGATGTGATGTGTTCTGATTTGTGATTTGTGCAGACAATCAATTATCATGATATTTTTTGACCAAATTAGTCAATATTGAAATGCCAAAAACATGTACGCAATGAAATTTTTGATGATCTTTAATGTTGTTATTTGTTTGTTTTTTGGTGGAAATCTGTGTTAGTATATTGACTAAATAAAGACAAAAAAACTTCATATTTGAGAGGCTGAAAACAGCATTTAGAGACATTTTCTTGCATAAAAAATGCAGCTCTAATGGCACATAAACATATATTAAACTGTTCCTTTGATACCAGAAAATATAAAACATTCAAAGGTTTTCCAGGGTAGAAAATTGTATCTTGTTATGCAATATTAAAAATAGTAATACAAAATTGTATTAAAATATTTCTACACTATAAAAAATTAAATATTTTAGTAAAATATTTCTACACTAAAAAAAGTTAAAGAAATTATTCAAACATAGTAAAATGTTTTTCTGAAATACTTCTACACTAAAAATAAAATATCCCAGCAGTTCAGATGAAGGTTTCCTGCAGAACATTTCTCCGTCTAGCGTTGACCAGAGACTGATCCTCTTAAAGTTTAAAATGTAAAACTTTGAAGAGGAGCTCGAACATTTTGCCAAGTTATTTTTTGTTCTCGACGACGTGACTTCCTCTGTGCACGGCTCCGCACTTAAAGAGAACTAGCCAAAGATTTTGATTTCTAGTGATTCTGATGTATGATTTATATGATGATATTATTATATTGTTGTTTTTCAGGAGGGAGATCTATATGTACAGTTTGTGTTATAAATGAGAGGAAAAGCTACGATGCAAACGTGTTCCTGTGCCTTGTTTGATAAAGAAACTGCAGATTTATGTGGAATATGACATAAAGAAACTAAACATGCTCCTGTGTTTTGAATCACTGATGCACTCCTGACTCACTGTATGCACCAAACCAATGTATGATTATACAAACACACTAAAAGATGAGATACTAAAGATTTGAAAATAAATTTGAAAATTAAAATTTGTTGTGAATTGTTTGTATTTTTTGATGACACCTTAAACGTCTACTACACTACATATCATAGGTAAACAACAACAACTATGTTTTGCCTGAAAAATAATAAGATTTGATCCATTGTGATGTTTTGTTATTAACTTATTATGGACGATTACATTTTTTCTCATAATTCGAAAACAAAAATCATAATTCCGATTTTTTTCATAATTCTGACTCTTTTCTTAATTCTTTTGCAGATTTTTCATGGCTCTGTATTTTTAATAATTCAGAAGTTTTTATTCATAATTCTGACTTTTTTTTAGGATTGTGACTTTTTTTATGTTCAGACATTTTTCTGAATTCTGAAGTTTTTTCATAATTCCACCTTTTTTTAAAAGAATTCTGACTTTGTTTCACAAGATTCTGACTTTTTCTGCATTTTGACTTTTTCTCCAGATGTTTCTTTTTTTCTGAATTGTTACTTTTTGCGTAGTCCTGATTTTTTTTTTTTTGTTGTACATTCACTGGGAACCTTCAAATAACCATTCCTCCAGTTATATGTTGTGTTTGTGCTTTTGTTGGAGGCGTTTGAAAGTGTTTTTGTTAAATAAATCCTCTTTTGAGATTCCACTCAAAGTCTGTCTACAATTTAAGGTTTGGTTGGGAAATGTAATATGTATGCAATGTATACGCCTACAGTTTTTAAAGCAGCCAGCAGGTGGCGCCCTCAGAGTAAAATACATCTCTCTCTCAGTTAGTTTTTCTTGCTTCCCATCCTCTGAAAACCTCCCATTTTTTCCCCAGGAATGTTCTGTCATGAAGCAGAAGGAGAACAGTGTGGCGGTGAGAGACGGGACAGATTTAAAGCCTGCAGGCTAAATATTTAGGAGTAAAGCACATAGGAAACAAGGAGGAAGGACTTGTTTGATAGCAATTCACAGAAAAGGGAGAACTTCTAAGAACTTTCTAAGAAAACTTGGTACTCTTTTTGTTTTCCCCAAACATAAAATATATAACTTTTAAAACAGACAATCAAGTCTTTTATGGCTTTAGGACTAAATGTTCTGAAGGAGCTGCTGCAGCGAAGACACTGTAAAATGTTACTCAAGTAGAAGTACTCAGATCTTGTTCTTGAGTGAAAGTAGAAGTACTCAGATCTTGAGTTAAAGTAAAAGTAGAAGTACTCAGATCATGTACTTGAGTAAAAGTAGAAGTACTCAGATCTTGTACTTGAGTAAAAGTAGAAGTACTCAGATCTTGTACTTGAGTAAAAGTAGAAGTACTCAGATCTTGTACTTGAGTAAAAGTAGAAGTACTCAGATCTTGTACTTGAGTAAAAGTAGAAGTACTCAGATCTTGTACTTGAGTAAAAGTAGAAGTACTCAGATCTTGTACTTGAGTAAAAGTAGAAGTACTCAGATCTTGTACTTGAATAAAAGTAGAAGTACTCAGATCTTGTACTTGAGTAAAAGTAGAAGTACTCAGGTCTTGTACTTCAGTAAAAGTAGAAGTACTCAGATCTTGTACTTAGTAAAAGTAGAAGTACCAGAGTGTAGGAATACTCTGTTACAGTAAAAGTTCTGCATTCAAAATGTCCCTCAAGTAAAAGTAGAAAAGTATTCTCATCAAAATATAGTTAAAGTAGCGACAGTAAAAGTAGTCATTGTGCAGATTGGTCCATTTCAGAATAATAGATATGATATGTTTTGAATAAAAATATATAACTAAATTAAATATAAAGAATGTGTTTAATATTACATAAGAAAATAATATATAAGTTACTTGTAAAATATGTCCAATAAAGATAAAGATATGTATGTAAACACAAAAGCCCCTCTTTAATCCCACCACTATCAGCTGTTCACCTGTGTTCCCAACATTAACGAAGTATTGAGAAACAACACTCATGTATTATGTCCCTGCGCTCTGATTGGCTGCCGCTGGTCTCTAGCTCAGCCGCGGACCAATGGGAGGGCTCGGTTGTTTGTGCTGCGCTGCTATAAAGCAGCAGCAATGAGGGGGAGACACAGTGATTCAAAGAGAGACTAACACACATCCTGAAACCACCGAACACATCTGATTCTCTCTGGGTCTGTGTCTGTCGACCAGAGACATTTTAAGAGATTTAACTGAAAAGGAGCAGCTTCATTTGTCTCTGGATTCAGGTATGTCTGCACCGAGGATGCTCCACACACACACTCACACGCTCACACACTCTCACAAACACACTCACAGGAGGAGAGGCTGACTCATAATATTGGCGTTGCTCTGTCTGAAATGACAGACATCTGACAGGCTTTATTCTGAAACATTCTGGTTATCTCCCTCTTCCCTCATCCTTCATCCACTGGGTTCAACTTGCACTGGTTTCCTTTTCCTCTCCTCTTCCTCTCCTCTTCCTCTCCTGCACAAACACACATCTTTTTGATCAGATAACACCAGATGTTTCTCACAGTCATCCTCTTCCGTTTCCCCTTATCTTTGCCCGGGCTGTTTCGGTGCATGAAAGAAGTTCTGATCTCATTCCTAAAATAATTATACTTTTTTTTTTGAAAACCAGAACTAAACATCAGAGCAGCTGTTTGTGTGTTTGTGTTTGTTGATGTTGTTGTTGTCTCTGCTGCTGGTACTTTGTGTCTTTGTGTGTGATACCCCGTGTTGTTGATGCTGAACAGCTGAGCGCCTCTTAGTGAAAGTACCGAGAGAAATTGGGGGTACTTCCGGTTGAGTGCAGATACTCCCTTCAAAATAAAAGCATACACATTCATTCAGAAAAGTGCAGGAAATCATTCAGTTTTGTCCTTGATGTGACTGGGTTGTTAATGGGTTTTCACTAAATATTACACTCAAATAAATCCCAACTTAAATATCATTCCATTTTGTCAGGGAATAATTCTGTGCACATGTTTACCTTTCGCCCTCTGACACAGATACCCAACCTTGAGCAGCCGCTATCTCCCTTAAGGAGGGGCTGCCCTAGCATGTTGTTGATATTACCAGTTTGTGACCGGGCAACTCTCGGTCAGAGATAGTCATTGTTGTGGGACACCTGGAACACATCCTTCTCGGGGTGTAGATGACCCCGAGCCATAAGCGACAACAAATGTGATTCAGTTTCCTCAGCTGTTCGGTCTATCTATTGAAGAATGTTGATTACCCTTAGCAAAACTAGTTAAAACCTCCTACCAGAGGGAGGGCTCTTCAGAATGGATTGTGGCATCTCTACCGTGTGGTCAGACCGTGGCCCGTGAATTATCCGGCCGAAGCTCCAAATAAACCGTCAGTGTTTGCCATCAGAGCTCCAGCTCTCCTCGTGTCTCTCTGAGTCCTGACTCCATCAGAGCTCCAGCTCTCCTCGTCTCTCTGAGTCCTGACTCCATCAGAGCTCCAGCTCTCCTCGTGTCTCTGAGTCCTGACTCCATCAGAGCTCCAGCTCTCCTCGTGTCTCTCTGAGTCCTGACTCCATCAGAGCTCCAGCTCTCCTCGTGTCTCTGAGTCCTGACTCCATCAGAGCTCCAGCTCTCCTCGTGTCTCTCTGAGTCCTGACTCCATCAGAGCTCCAGCTCTCCTCGTGTCTCTCTGAGTCCTGACTCCATCAGAGCTCCAGCTCTCCTCGTGTCTCTGAGTCCTGACTCCATCAGAGCTCCAGCTCTC